TAGTAATAATAACCATTTTGAAAACTAGGGTGTTACAAAAGTCACAAACAAAATAAATAATAAGTAATTTTAGTTTAATGACATTTAATGATATGCTAACATATTATTCATTTAATATAGATTTATGGATAAGTAGAAAAAAAAATAGAATATAAGTTGAATAAAAAAAAGTATGAGAGAAAAAAATGTTTTAAAAATCAAGAGACAAAATTGTTAATAAAATATGTACACAAAAAATGTATTGTCTTTATTAATACTATAGAATATAACATATATGAAAGGTTTATTAAATATAATTTTCATTGGTCAAATATTATTTTAATATAAACAAAAATCAAACCTGAAAATATATCATATTTATTTATAAATTAAATGTTAATATTTAATAATATAATATTAATAATTAAAATTAATTTTTGAGGTGAGATCCGTTTATTTCGTTTAATAACTTATATTCTATATTAAATTTCAATGATTCAATCGTTAAATTTAAAATTCTTAATACATAAATCAAGTATACAATTTTTTTTTGAAAATCATGATATAAACATAAATTTAAATTATAATTTATATGTTTAAAAATATCTATTTATATATTTTAGAATATAATATAATATTATTTATATATTTAAATATAATATTATTTGTATATAATTATATATAATAAAATTAATTAGATGCATTCCACTTGCTAACATACTGGTTTGAGATAATTGATATATTTTTTAAACAAATTATAAACTGCTAAGAAAAAATAAAGTCTCTATATATTCATTTAAAAATAAAAAATAATATTAAAGATAATAGAAATTAAATAATAATCTTTAAAAAAGTAAAACCAAAGTCAACTGAGAAAATCCATATCCTCTGTACCTTTATCTATAAGTATGTATTAGTATTATTTATAAGTCCAAAATAAGAGGAAATTATTATTTTTTAAATAACGAAGTATAGTTCATTTCTATTGGTTCATCTGCATAAATAAAGTAATATTTCCTGTTATAATTCTACAAATCAAAAATAGAACAAACACAGATATCAAATCATTTTCATGTAAAAAGAAAATATCAATCCATATGATCTAACCACCTTTAGTAGAGGAAATCAATTTCAATTAAAAAAAAATCAAAATCAGTTATGTTTCATCCATAAGTATATATTTTCTATAAATATATAAATCTAAAAGAATAGAAATAAAAATCAGTTGGAAATAACTTATCCAAAAATAAAGATAAACCAAAAGAAATTTAAAAATTAAAATTAAATGTCAGACATTTATATCTATATTTATTATAAAAAAGATACAGGAGTATATAACTGTTTTTGATCTTCACTTTTTAGTAGATCATTATATTCCTCTAATGTAAAACTAAAAATTTTACATCTTCTTTAAATAACTACACACAACTTTCTACTTTTGGTCTTCACTTTTTTATAAATTATTATATTCCTCCAATATAAAATAAAAATCTTACATCATTTTTAAATAACTACACACAATTTTTTAATATTATGTCTGTGTATAATTATTAGAAATACTAGAGGGGTCGAGACACTTCGTGCCTTTGATAATTTTACACAGTGTTTTAAAACCCGGACCGACCCCGCCGGTCGGACCGGTTGGACCGGGAACCGGTGGTCCAGCTGGTTCGAATCTAAAGTTGGATCGGTTATGCAGTCGACCCGTTTCAAACTGGATTGAACCGGTCAATTTTCCGGTTCAACTGGTGAACCGGTGGGTCAAACCGGTTCAACCACTTTTTTTTCTTTTTTTTTTTAAAATTTTTTTAAGGGACCATAAATCACAAAAATAATAATGAAAATTGAATCTCTTAATGAAAAAGCAAGGAGTCTTATTAAATATAACAATGACTACTTGTTCTAATATATTTGTTTGCAATATATACAACTTAAATAACTTTTATAGTATATTATTAATTTTAAATTATATATTTAATAATTCAATATCTATGTAAATATTACATATATTATTTTGTGATATTAATTGCAAGCATATTATATATGTACATATTATTTATATTTTTAATTTGTATTAATATACCGTTTAACATGTAGTTTTTTTACGTATTTTTTTACAAAATAAAAATAAAAATAATTTTAAATAAGATAGAAAAATTGAAATTTAAAATAAGATATGAATTTATTAAAATTTATAAGTATAAAATATATTTAATATATATATTTTTTAATAAAAATTGAGTCATGCGGTTCAACTAGTGACCTACCGGTTCAACCTTTGATCCACTGACCCAGTACCTTAACCGGTTCGATGACCGGTCCGATTTTTAAAACTATAAAATCAAATAAATATTAAAACTTATAAAAGATATAAGATTTTTTTTTTTACATTCAAGAATATAAAGGTCCATTAAAAAGTAGAGACCAAAATGATAGTTACTAAAATATATTCCCTTTATAATAAGTATAGAAGTATAGATGAAGTACCTGAACTTCTCTAATTTATTATAAAAAATATATATTTTAATAATCGACCTTTTAATTTTTATTTTTTAATAAATCCTAATATTTTTTAATAAATAAAATATATTTTGATAATCACTTTTGGTCTTCAATTTTTTAAAAGACTATTATACTTTTTTGATATAATTTTTTTTATATATTTTTAATTTGTGTATAAAGCAGAAAGCATTGGTGAAGAATTGTAGTTCACCTAGTTCTAGTGATTGTGGTCATACAAAGATGGAAGATTAAACCAAGGAAAAACGCAGGGTCCACATGCTGCCACGTGTGCACTAGAGTTTTCACCATTCTAACTTCCGAAGCTTTATTTTTTATTATTATTTTCTTTATACGCAGCAAACTCTACTCTTCCCCTACCGTCTCTCCCTATTCCAAGGAAAGCAGTTATCACTCGCATTGCGTCCAACCAAAGCCTTTGCACTTTCAGACATGGCGGATAGCGACGCCGGCCACCGCCGCAGGGAGCCGCTCCTCGAGGCGCCGGAGGAGGACCCCGGAAAGCCCTCCTGGAGACTCAACTTGAACGAGTTTCGTTTGCCCAACCAAGCGAATGATCATCAACACCGATCCTTCACTATGCGTGGCCTTCTTCGCAAACCCAGTGAGGCATTGTTTTTTTGTTTGTCTGTGTGTGTTGAGTTGAGTTGAGGGACTCAATAACGCATTCGTCACCTTTTTCTGGTTTTTCTTCCCTTGGATGTGGAAAGTTTGTGTTTTGTGTGATGGGTGTGGGTTGTTTTCGGTGGTGATGCTTTGATTTGTGATGGGTCTGTTTCGTCACCTTTGGACGTTCTTTCTTGTTTTTTTTTTTTGATGGGGTTCTTTTTTGGTCGCCTTTTTCCGTTTTTTGTTCTCTTGGATGTGTGAAGTTTCGGTTTTGGGTGATGGGTGTGGTTTGTTTATGGTGGTGATGCGTTGAATTGTGATGGGTCTGTGTTTTTGTTTTGTTGCGAGTGATGGTGTGTTATTCATTTTTTGATGTCTAAAGTGATGAAGTCTCTCTTGTGTGGTGGGTTTGTTTTGGTCTCTTGCATGTGTTGAATTCAGCAAATTCAGGTTTTGTTTGAATGTTTGAATTGTAAGTCTTTTTATTTTTAAAAAAAAAAAAATTTGGTATGTGTGATGGGATTGTTTTGCTCTGCGTGATGATGCTTTGAATTGTGAAAACCGAAGAAGTTGGAGAGGTGTTGTTGTTATTATTCTTTGTTTGGTAGTATTTTACTGTAGGCCATGATGGGAATCTTTAAATAAAGGCAGAACCTTTTATTGTGAATGTGCATCAGTTTTTTTGGTGCTTGTATTAGACTAGTTAGGTATAATTCGGTTCGTTTGATCAAAAGTGCTTGTATTGAATGGCATGAAACTGGATCATTTTCTTTTCGGATCATTCTTTTCTACCCTGTATTATCTTTTTCTTCGCAAGGTAAAGTTATAGTTAGATAAAGTACATAACAAAAATTGACCATGTACAATTTACCTATTCACATATTGTTTAAATTAAAATACTTCAATTTATAAAAGGTTGGTGAATGGTGATTTAAAATGTTGACATTATTGATTACTCCGTTTGTCTCACAATTTAATGTTTCTATTAAGGACAATAATAAATATATCACTATACAATTTTACTAAAATATCCTATCCTTTAAATAAATTATTACTTTTAATTGCAATGGTCGAATAATTTATGAATGGACAAATTAGGAAAAAAATAAATTAATATTACATTGAAATGTGAGAATGTAATTTTGAGATATTTTCCAAATGTAATTACTACAGCCATTTTGGGAGGGAGGGAGTATTAATTACTTGACGAATGCAGAAAAGATACACACAATTAAACTTGATCATCTTGAACTTAAAGAATTTAGCAGTTAAATTCATCTTCAACTTGTTTCAGTTAAATCCATATATTATGGCTTGTGGATTTTCTTACTTACTCTCTAACCACACTGTTAACTTGCATTTTAGGGAAGCAAGGCAAAGTGGCAGAATATTACAAGAAACAAGAGAGACTCCTGGAAGGATTTAGTGAGATGGAGACGATGGCTGAAACGGGTGGTTTCCCAGGAACTCTCACTGAGGTTGATTGTTCTATCACCATTAGTCACTTATAATTTGTTATACATGGAGCAGGACTATCTAGTTTTGGCTATAATCTTGGAAAATTTATGATTTTCCATTAAACTTGATCATCTCAAACACATGCAGATGAATATCTTGTTTAAATCTATAAAGAGAATTCTACTAAATAATCGTGTTAAATGTTTCTCAGGATGAAATGAAGCAACTAGCCAAGAGTGAGAGGATGGCTGTTCATGTGTCAAATATATGTAACTTGGTGTTATTTGTAGCAAAGGTTTATGCATCGGTTGCAAGCAGATCATTGGCTGTCATTGCCTCAACCATGGATTCTCTCTTGGATCTCTTGTCAGGATTCATATTGTGGTTTACTGCTAATGCCATGAAAAACCCAAACCAATATCACTATCCAATCGGAAAGAAACGTATGCAACCAGTGGTAAGACTTGATTTAAACTACACAGGGTGATTGGATCATATAAAGTTTTAGTAAATGAAGTATATCAATATAGTTTTATAATATCATTAGAGTGAATAATGGCTGTAAATGGTTATTGGTTATTTAAGACATTTCCAAAATAGCCATTGCATGGTAACTTAATAAGATTTCCTGTGCAGGGTATCATTGTTTTTGCATCAGTGATGGCAACCTTGGGGTTGCAGATTTTAATTGAATCTGCCCGGGAACTTATCTCCAAGGTAATTGAGATAAGCTTTTGTTCTTGTTTGTTCATTAGATCCCCAAATGTGGGTTTAACACTAGTTTGTTTTTGTTTGTGAATTTGATTTTAGAGTAAATACCGATAAACTTCTCAAGTTAAAATCAACTTATTCGTCTTAACCTTTTTAGATCATGAAGAAATTTGATTTATTTTACCTTTATTTTTACTGCTAATTGTTTCTTGAAAAGTTTATCCACTATAACTCCTAGTGATTTATTTGAGTTGAAGCATTTTTAAGCAACTCATCTTTTGACTTTATTGAAGTATAACCACAACACATACCTGTAATTTCTCATTTGTTCTTTTTTTTTTTTCGCAGACTAAGCCTGATATGGATCCAACAAAAATGCATTGGATGATCGGGATTATGGTGTTTGTGACTGTAGTGAAGTTTGTTCTTATGGTCTACTGTCGAAGATTTAAAAACGAAATCGTTAGAGCATATGCACAAGATCACTTTTTTGATGTCGTTACTAATTCTGTTGGTTTAGCTGCTGCCGTGTTAGCTGTTAAGTTCTACTGGTGGATTGATCCAACAGGAGCTATTATTGTGAGTTCATAACTAAATCTTGGTGTCTCTTTGGTTTGATTTTCATGTCACCTTATTTTCTCTTTGTTTTTAAAAGGTAGCATTTTATGTTATTATTTGCATAAACATTTTCTCAGACCAAGTTGGCCCTTAAATATTTGCAAAAACACTTTCTCATACCACCTGACTTTATTTTAAAAAAAAATTCTTTTCTAGACTCTAGTCCCTACACTTAACAAAATGATGTGATTTTTGTCCTTAGTTACACATGTTTAGTCAATTGTGATGGACAAAAATCACACTTTAATGGTTTAAATATCCAATTGATTCTTTAAGTTTTATAAATTTTACCTTTCAGTCTCTATATAGTTTAAAACAATTATATTTTAGTCTCCATACATACTATTTTTTGCTTTTTGTCCCTTCCTTTTATTTGCTAAAGGACACAGGTAAAATTCATGAAACTATAGAGACTAATGAGTATTTAAACCTAATTTAATTTTAATGTAGGAATTAAAAGAGAATGAAATTTTTAGAGACTAAAAAAATATGAAATTTATAGGGATTAAAACATATTTAGTTGATTGACCCTTTAATTGTTTTTCTCCATTATTCCACAATGGTCATAAACTCCTTCTATGTGCCACTTCAAGATTTTGAAGGGAGTTCCTTGTGTTACACATGATTGTTGCATCAAGTGAACTACTAATGATGATACACTGAATGTGTAATGCAGATAGCACTGTATACAATCAATACATGGGCCAGGACAGTGATTGAGAATGTTTGGTCACTAATTGGAAGAACAGCACCACCTGATTTTCTGGCCAAGTTAACTTACCTCATATGGAATCACCATGAGCAGATAAAGCACATAGACACTGTTAGAGCATACACCTTTGGTGCACATTACTTTGTGGAAGTTGACATTGTGTTGCCAGAAGACATGCTTCTCCACCAAGCACACAACATTGGTGAGACACTCCAAGAGAAGCTGGAGCAACTTCCAGAAGTTGAAAGGGCTTTTGTGCACATAGATTTTGAGTTCACACACAGGCCAGAGCACAAGACCATGGTATGATGTGATATGATTTTGACCATGGCATAGCTTAGCTAGCTTTGCTATTTCTTAGTATTTTATTTAAGCCAAATAATTACAGTTTTTCTTTCTCATGTTTATACTTGTTGATTCCTATGAATGTTACCTCCTAATTTCAATGTCTATAATTCATCATTTAGATGGCTCAATAAATGGAAATGATTTTCTTTTTCACATTGTTTTTAGATGTACACATGGTTGGTGAAAAGAATATGACGTTAAAATATAAAATACTCTGTCCGGTCTGGTTTGTCTTTATTACAAGACATAATTTTTTTTATAAGAACAATTTATATTAAACATTAATTTTATTTTTCATCTTTTGTTGTTATTAAAGATTGTTCTTGAATACTAAAAATAAAATTTAATAAACAAATGTTCTCTTTTACTTCTTAAATTTGTTAATTGATATTTAGTGCATAAGTTTTAATATAAATATCTTCATTTTATTAAAATTTAATGATAAATAATAAAGATAAAATTGATATATCATGATTTAATTTTTATAAATTCAGTAAAGTTAACTAATATATATTGATTTGTGTGATTTAGTTAAAAGTTATAGGAAGAAGTAATTCCCATTGTTTCTTGGAAGTGATAAACGTAATGAATAATTTGATAAAGAGGGAAATGAAGATGGAGGAAATTAATGTGAATAAAGTTGTTTGTCTTAGGCTGGTGTAAGTATGTGATACGATGACCAAGCTTTCACATGCAAATATACAAAGAGGATTTGACAATTCTAAATTGAGAAAATGGACATAAATTTATCCTAAAACACAGTTAAAATTATAATTTAAATTAGCTACAAAAATATATCTTTTGTTTTTTTTTTTTAAACGTTGCTGCTTTTTTTGGTAATTAAATCAAATGAATATTGGATATTGCACCCATATAATGATGTTATACGTGGTGGAAACTAGGAAGTGCCCTATTTACGCACGTCGATTTCTGGATGATACGTGATGGCATAGAATATTATAAAGGTCGCATTTATTGATCTGTAAAGTTTGGTTAAGATAGCATCGTGGAATATCGAAGGATAACTAATATCATCATGCAGGTAAATGAAAATGACATGTATAAAGGATAAAAGACACACGGCAAAAACAAACAAGAATATAAACCTTGACTACAACATCGATGAGTTGATAAGGGAATAGAAAAATGATGAGTTGATAAGGGATTAGAAAAATGATTCAACGTTACGAAAATCATTCTCAATCATTAAAAAATTAATTTAAATTATAAAATATTAAATTAAATAATTATTTTATAATAAATTTATTAAAAAAATATTAATATTGTATAATCAATTTTTTTTTCATAATCATTTCTGCTCACTAATTTCTCCATTTTCGAGTCTTCGTTCTCTTAGGTTTTTCATCCATGACTTCCAGTACAACAAAAGATGAATATGTTGATCCTCTTTTTCTTCATCCCTCTCATAATCCATCTTCAGTCGTTGTGTCCCAACCTCTCACAAAATCCAATTAGCGATCTTGCATGGCTCTTGAAGGCAAGAACAAACTTGGCTTCATTGATGGCTCAATTCTAAAACCATTCGTAAATGATCCAAAACGACAATCTTGGAAGCACAATAATAGCATTATTGCATCTTGGATCATGAATTTGGTCTCTAAAGACATCTGGAATGACCTAAAGATTAGGTTTCAGAAAAAGAATGGTCCAAGAATTTTCAAGATCAAACATGATCTCATAAACTTGAAACAAGGGAATCTAACCATTACTCAGTACTACACCAAAGTAAAGTCATATTAGGAGGAATTAGCCGAATTCCAGCCACTCAATGCATGTACTTGCGGTGGAATCAAACCATGGATAGATCATCACAATATGGATCAGGTGATTCTTTTCCTTATTGGCTTAAATGATTCATACTCTCATGTGAGGGGCCAAATCCTTCTTATGGATCTGATTCCACCGATGAATCAAGTTTTCTCTCTTCTGAACCAAGAGGAAACTCAAAGAGAACTAGGAGTGACTCATCCTCTTCAAGACACCAACTCCGTTTTTGCTATGCAAGCACCAGAAAATAAATTCAAGCAAAATCAAAAGGATAGACCTTTTTGTGAAGAATGCAAAAAAATATAGGCATACAAAGAATACTTATTTCAAGATTCATGGTTATCCAGCCCACATAAAAAGGAAACCATTTACTACTCCGGCTTCAAACAACAAACAGTTGGTCAATCAAGTTGCCAGAGAGGAAGAACCATCATTCAAATTCACTGCCCAACAATATCAACAATTATTAGCTCTCCTTCAAAATCAAACAGGAAGCTCTAATTCGCATAATTTTGATCAGCCTCACAACAATGGTGCAATCTTTTTATTAAACCTAATAGTAACTACAATTTTTCAAACAAATGGATTTTAGATTTTGGTGTCAGTACACACGTTGCATGTTGTCAAACCATGTTCCATTCATTAACTGTTGTGAATGATCAATTTGTTACCTTGCCAAATCAATCTAAAATACCTGTGAAAGGCATTGGAAATATTAGGATAGATGACAAATTTACATTGTTCAATGTTCTATATGTTCCAAGTTTCAATTTCAATCTCATTTCTGTCCGTTCCTTATTACATAATGGAGACTTATGCATAACCTTGTATGCCACTCATTTTGTGATACAAAAAATCAACGACTTCAAGAAGATTGGTCAGGGTAATATGATATCTAGGTTATACATGTTATGTCAACCTGCACAAGATCTGTGACACCCTCTACCCCATTATTAATATACAA